CTCTCACTGCCCCTGCACTTCTGGTTTGTACCCCAGTTCTGTATGAATAAATAAATCTTTTAAAAAGAGAGAGAGTGAGAGCTTCTTTATATGAGCTGAGGCTTGGGCCAGGTTAAGTGACCCACTGAGCTTACCCAGCTGGGGTGAGATAAAAGCCAGCCTAGGAGCCCAAGTTTATCTGTCCCAGGGCAAGTGGGCTGCCAGGACTGTGAGAGAGGAGTGAGCGGCCTTCCCATGAGGAGTGAGCCAGTTGCAGCACAGGGAGCTAGGTCTGCGTGGCTGTACCTGTGAAGCTGAGACTCTGGCCACCTGCTGAGGTCTGTGTCAAGTCTTCATGGGTGCTTTGACTCATCTTTGCAGACTTAACAAGCAACAGGATTGCTGAATATTTAATCTCAGCTGCAGTAGAACATGATTGTTTCTGAATAAAGGTATGTTAAATGAGAAAGCTTATTTGTGAACAAGCCAGAAGAAGGGAATGTGCTGGAAAGATCCCTTCCAAGACAGGCCAACATGGGTGGCCTCTTACCCATTTCTTGCTAGCCCTCTCTGGGGCTTTTGAGCCAAGCACAGTATTGCAACTGCCCCTCTTCCCCTTCTCCACACACGCCCCTGGGGCAACCCAGGAGCACAGATTTTCACCCAGGAGCAGGGGGGTAGCTAGCCATCCTTTAGATCCAGCCCAGACTCTCCCCAAGTGCTGGCCCAGGTCTCTGGCCAGCATGGTCCACCTGGCATGGGTTTCAATAATCTCAGCTTCCAGAACAAACTTACTTCCACTGTTGGGTTCTTATCTCAGGGAAGAATGTCCTTTCTTCTCTGGTCACCCAAACCAAGTCCTCTCCAGCTGCTCCCCTTCTTGCTAATTTACACTTCTCATGAAATCTTCCCTAGCGCCCCCCCACTTCTCCCATCCCACTCTCAGTGCCCAGGCCTTACCCTTGGCATCTATTATTTGGATTCCCAAAGGCTCCCCCAGTCTAGTTCAGTCTTTATACCACTCCCAGTGGTCTGCTCAAACCTATGTATGAACAGATCCTCCACCCCCCCCTCCTTGGCTCCCCATTAAGGGCAGAAACCACTGTGCATTTGGGGCTGTGCAGATTAGTTCCGACATGGCTGCTCCTTGCTGGTTTCAAAAGTCGCTCTCCAGCATTCCAGCACACCTGGGATTGTCACATATGACACTGATGTCCCTCTGTGCCTTTGTTCTTCCTAAAACAGATAGGATAGTCACGGCTACCCCGAAACACCACTCACCTCCCTCATTCTTCAATTCTCAGCTCCAGTATCCGTGTGGGACACTTCTTGGGCAGAATTTATTATTGTTTTCTTTACAATTTGCATTCACTTATAACTGCTAACATGGCCTTCAGCCTGCCAGTAACAAGCTACACAGGTATCTTTAAGGGCTATGAATAAGTAAATGAATTACACTTAGTGCTCTGCTTGGTTATTCGTGTATGAGAATCTCTTGTGATCTTGACCTTCATTTGCTCCAGAAGGGGTCTAATTCACTGGCATCTCAGGCATGTATAGAGAGCTTTATATGCTTGGTTCCAATAAGTCAGGATGACTGGTAAGCTTGACTATTCTGTGCTATTAGGAGATCCTTATACTTTGTGAAGAATGAAAATGTCATTATGGTATGTATGAGAAGTTCTTGTTTATTTAAGAGAGGTCGTTTAAAGGACTTTATGTGAATGGAGTTCAGATATAAACAGATAAATTACAAAGAAGTCAAAATGTTAACAATGGTTGAGTCTGGGTATGGGGTACTCATTAGACCGTCCTTCTAGTTTCTTTGTATTTGAAATTTTTCACAGTAAAAAGGTTTTTTTAAGATTTATTTTTATTTTTACATGCATGCAAAAACTGGGGTATAGGTTAGAGGTACGGGAGGGTAAGAGGATTCGCCAGAGACAGAGTGGGGATCTATGAAGTACACTGCTGAGGGGAGCAGTGTGTGGGGCAGGAGAGGTCTGCTCTGCCATGTGGGTCAGCTCCCTGGCCAGAGATCAAACTCATGCAATAGCATGATAGTGCTGAGACTTAACCCTGCGCCACCAGTGAGGCCCAATAAAAACTTTTTTCAAAGGTGAGTTGCATTGATTGACTAGACTCCTTTTCTCACTGATAAAGTTGAAGTTTTACCTTAGTCTGTATGGGACACAAAACACCACAGACTGGGCAGTTGTAAACAACAGAAATTTATTACTCACATTTTTGGAGACTGGAAATCCAAGATCAGGATGCCAATGTGGGCAGGTTCTTGAGACACTCTCCTCCCTTCATAACTGGCTCCTCAAGGTTTACTCCTGTGGCAGAAGGGAAAAAAGATGTCTCCAGGGGGCAGGGATAAGACACTGATCCCCATCGTGTGGCCCCACCCTCCTGGCTGAAGCACCTCCCACACTCTTCCCCTCTGAATCATCACTTGGGGGTTGGAACTTCAATAAATTGATTGGGAGGGGGAGAGCAAAAACATTCATTCAAGCCACAGCCAGTCAGTGGGAAAGGCTTATAATGACCTGGGGGGAGGGGGTGGGAGGGAGAACACTCCCTCTGAGCCCTGGGTCCAGGAAGTTCCCAGCAGGCTCCAGTGAATGGAGCCCAGGACTCTAGAAGGAAATTGCTTTTGGCTTCAACGCTCCTACAAGTCAAATGAGGCTGTTGATGCCAGGACCCCCACACAGGAGAAATGTGTGATTGCTTCTGGGAACTAAGTGGTAAAGGAGGGCAGGCCACTGCTGTGTGATCAAGTCAATGTGCGAAAATCAGGCTGAGTCAGAAGGAGGGGGCAGGGTTCCAGGTCCAGCTGCATCTCTTTGTTAGCAGAGTTGACAACTGGGCAGGCAGCCTGCACTAATAATTTATAGAAAGTCACTGTGTGCCAGAGTATGCAATAGTAGCGCCCTATCCCAGAAAGTTTAAATGTTTTAAAGAGTTGGAATTACAGGTGCATTTCACTCCTTAACCTGCTAAATAGACTTCTTCAGTTTTGCAATTAAGAGATCTATGACACTTCCTTCGGAGGTCCAAAATGTGCCAACTTGCACCTTCCAGTATAGAGCTCAATGCAAGGCAACAAGTAATTAGAATCCCCCTCAGCCCTGGTACTGTTTTCTCTTGTCTCCCTTATTCTGAGACAGTCACTTCCATAGAGCTAAAAGATTGTTAATGAAGTCAGAAAGGTTCCTTTACCCCTTAATTCTCAGGGTGGGTGGGTGGGGTCCTTCTTACAGTCTCCCAAATCACCACACTGCTTGGAAGCAACTGAAGAGGGGGAAAGGCAGTGTGTCCAGTGTCTGCTGAGGCTTCCTCACCTCCACAAAGAGCCAGCTGTGCTGCTGAGCTGGGCCTCGGTGTAGGGAGCTCCAGCTAGTCTTGGGGTAAAGTATGTACTCATCCTGCACCTCACTCTCCTCACTCTCCCCACTCCCGGTCGGGTTTAAAAACAAATCCTCTGCCTTCCCACAGCCAAAGCCATGCCTCCCAGGTAGGTGATGTCGCCGCCAACCGCCTCAGCCCCCAGAAAGTGCATGGCCAACGTCAGGCTGACTCGTCAGGCCACAGGACGCATCTGGGGTTCCAGGATCGTGGACTTGGGTTTCTGCCGTTGTATCAGAGAGGCGGTGCCCTCGAGGGACCCTGAAGGGGCGTGGACCCGCTCCCAAAATGCGAACTGCAGCTCTGGGCAGCGGCAAGCGGGTTCCCGAGGTCCTGGCGCAGGGCTGGTCGCGCCCGCGGGGCAGGCTGGCGGGGCGGGGCGGCCCTGAGCTTTAAGAGGCGGCGCGGCCCGGGAGCGGAGGGACTCGCGGGGACTCGCCATGGAGAGCGCCTGGGACTACGCGGGTGCCCTCATCAGGCAAGTGCCACCTCAGCCCGACTTGGGGTTGCGCCTGCTCCCCCGCCCGCCCTGCGCCCCTGGGATGAGCCCCTGGGCGCAGCACCCCCTGCATTGTCCTGCGCGGGTGCGTCCAGTGACTCTGACCCCTGAGCCGGGAGCGCGTCTCCCCCGCGCCCGGAGCGTGCTGCCTCCCGCTGCACTTGTAAACCGCCCCCCCACCCCACCCCGCCAGCTACGCTTCTAAACCGGGGTCCCGTTAGCCCCTAGTCCTCCTGCACCCTGGGCCCCCGCGCACCCCCAGGCCCGGGTCCCGCGCGCTTCCCCTGCCGCCCGCCTGCGTGTCTCCTCCTCCCCCGACTCCCTAAAGGTGGCCTGGGTGACACTCCTGGGTGGCAGGGGTGGGTAGGGTGAGGGGACTCGCTGGCCGCTGATGCAGCCTCCAGGCAGATACGGACCTGGTCCTGGGGACAAGGGAGGCGCTCCTTGGGGTTCGGGGATAGGGCTCCTCCGACACCTCGGGATCGCGGCAGGGTCGCGTGCGCGGGGTGGGGGCCGGCGGGGACCTCAGGCGGCCAGAGCTGACTCTCAGGTCGAGTGGGGCTTGGCGGAGGGGGACTGACCGGGGCGCTCCTCGGGTCCTGGTGGTTCCACGAGCCCTGCTCCGGAGGGGAAAGACCTCGCAGCCTCCAGGTTGAGGTGCTTACCCGCACTCCCCACTCTCTGCCCGCTCCCCACCCCCCAAACCCCATCTTTCGTCTTCTCCCTGTCCATTAAGTTTATCTTCGCAAACTAACCCTTGTTCTGAAAATCCTAAAAATACTGCTTGAAAGTATAGCTACTACGATCTTCGAAGTTCTTGGGAAAGACAGAGAGGTCCTGGAGTCCTTAAAGAGCAGGTGTTGAGGGGTGAGGTGTGTGTTTGTATAAGGGGCAAGGGGCATGTAAGGAAAGGCAGGGAGACTCACTTCCAGCACAGGGTGACCTGTAAGCTTCTGAGGGCATGCCTAATACTCAAGGTTAGAAAAAGAGATGCCATCTTATACAGCTGATCTTTCTGGAAGGCACTGGTGTTTCTTTTTTCTTTTTTAAGATTTATTTATTTATGCATACAGAACTGGGGTACAGGCCAGAGGTGCAGGGGGAGTGAGAGGATTCACCAGAGACAGAGTGGGGAGCAGAACAGTGAACAAAGTACACTGCTAAGGGGAGCAGCAGGCGGTCAGGAGAGGTCTGCTGCACACCAAGTGGGTCACCTCCAGGGTGGGGATTGAACTGGAGCTAAAGTGGCTTTAGCATCTTACTGTTGTGCTAATTTAACCCACTGTGCTACCTGGGAGGGCCTGGCACGGTGTTTCTTTTAAAAACAAATAACAAAAACAAACCCCTTAGGACCAGGGAAGGTGAAAAACAGATTTGCCGAGTGTCTCACTAACCTACCTTAGTGGCAAAGTAAGGCCCTTTTCCTTTTCTTCCTCTCCTTCTAGAACTACCCCACCCCCACTCCTACCCCTCTACCGTGGAGGAACAATTTTTAACAATGTACCTCCAGCCTGTTCTGGCATTAGAATGCAAGCCCACCCATTCCCCAGTTCTGGGCGCCAGGGAGCTGGGCTGTTTTTGGAGGGTAAGAGTCACTGGAGTTGCCTGGAGTAGAGGTTGACCCAGCGCTTCACCCTCCTCTTACAACACTGTCTCCAAATCCAAACCTGAAGTGTATCTGTGTGACATTTCCACTGGGTCAAACCAAGTAGAGGCCACTGGCTTATGAAATGTTGACAGATTAAAACTTTAGCCTATGTCTAATCTCACAAGTCATTCCTAAATTGCCAAGCTTCTGGAGTGAGTTCAGCCACACTATTGTAGTTTTTTGAAAAGTCTACCTGCTTCCAAACGAACCTGGAAGAAAATCACCTGTGATGTTTGTTGAGAGGAAGACACTTTTCTTCTCTATTCGTCTTTGAAACCTGTCTAGGCTAAAGATCCCTGTGAGTCACAGGCGAGGTGACGTTAATCATGGCCTGGCTGGCTGCCGGCTCCACTCTGTTCCTTAATTTAAACTGGACATACTGGTACAGGATGTCCTAACCCTTTTATTAGTAAATAAGTGCATTTTACCAAGAAAATAATTTAACCAACATATGTGTCTTCTTTTAAGATCAGGGACAAATAAACAGCTCTAGAACCAGCCGTGAGCTGTTAGCCATTGGTCATCAGTGTGGGCTTTGGTTTGAAGAAAGCCTGAGGTGTGGGTGTGTAAGTGGAGCAAGGACTGCCAGCCCGCACCTGGGATACAGCCCTGCTCTGGCCTGTGACCTGTCCGTGGTGATACTCATGCCACCCTGCAGATGCTTTAAAGCTGAACTATACTTGGTGCACGTGGCTCCTTTTAGAGCCACTTGTCCATAGGGAACTCTGGGTTTCTTCTAGCTGTTGTTTCTGTGCAAATTTGTGATCTAAATGGACAAGGAATTGTGTTTTCTACAAGTAAATAACACAGAGGACTCATCCTTAGTCCTTTGTGGGTCAAAACTTTTAATATTATTTCACTCTATATTATTATATTATTTTACTTTAATATTATAACATGATTTCAAAGGCCCTCCCTGGTGGCTCAATGTGTTAGAGCACAGCACCATGAAGCTCTTGCCAGCCACTGCAGCAGGAGTTAGATTCCCGGCCAGGGAGGTGACCCACATGGCACCACAAACCTCTCCTGTCCTTTCCTGCTGCTCCCCTCAGGAGTGTATTTCAGTCCATTTGCCTGTTCTGCTCCTCACTCTGTCCCTGGTGAATCATCTCACCTCCCTCACCTCTGGTCTGTAGCCCAGTTCTTGTATGCATAAATAAATAAAATGTATGATTTCACTTTAATTTTTTTTTTTTTAAGATTTATTTGTGCATACAGAGCTGGGGTCCAGGCCAGAGGCTCAGGGGCGGCGAGGAGTGTCACCAGAGACAAAGTGGGGAGCAGAACAGGCAGATCGACGAAGTACACTGCTGAGAGGAGCAGCAGGCAGGTCAGGAGAGGTCTGCCACGCCATGTGGTCCCCTCTGGGGCAGGCGGGGATCGAACTCATGCGGAAGTGGTTTTAACTTCTCAGTGCTGTGCTACCCCGCTGCGCCACCAGGGAGGGCCCTCATTTTAATGTTTTTATACCTTACCACACCAAGCACTTTGACAGGCAGGTCAGCATAGCTGAGGCTACTTCAGCCCCAGGCAGATTCGGGTGTGTGTTTCCAGCTGTTACAGGGTGCCCAGGAGGCCAACACTATTCCTCTGCCCCTTGCCACCGGGTCAGACATTTGCCCTCTGACACTATCCTCACCTATCCCAGTGACCCCAGATATCACAGCTGGGCCTGACACACACTTTCCAAGGGTCTTATTTCTCTGAGCTCCCATCTTTGACGTCATCCTATGTCAACATTCACTCGGCTCTGATGTCACATTCACTTTGTCCACTGGGACCTACTCCTGTCTGTGCTTCATTCTTCTGTTACCAGCATCTCCCTTGCCTCAAGATAAGATATGGTGTCTCAAATTTTTACCTGAACATTCCTGAGCAATACGCCTCAGAGTACTACCTCATCTCTGTAACTCCAAACACTTCCCAGCTCAGACCTGGCTCCTGGGCCTGCCTTTTTCCACTAGCTCCTGCAGAGTAAACATTAGTCCCCAGGGTGATCTATGAAGATGCTTGTTTTTTTGACCTAGGGGTTGGGATTGGGGGGGAGAATTAGCTTCATTTTACTGGAGTGAAATTCACACCTATAGTCAGTCTGTGGTTTGCTCTTTCATTTGGCACAATTTTCTTAGTTGAAAGCTCCCAGCTTCCCTCCAGGAAAAGTACAAATACTGTTCTGTTTCCCCTTTTTTTCCTGAGAGATTTGCCCCTTCCCAATTTTCAAGAATATTCTATGAATTCTGACTTCTCTTCTTGTCTCAATTTCTCTGAAACAATCAGTTTCCTTGAACAGCCTGTTTCCTGGTTTATTTTCCTTCTAGTGAGCATTTTCCCTCTCCCCCCACCCCTTTCCTCCACTAGACTGTCTGCTGCCATTTTTTTTTTTTTTTAATAAGGATTGATGGGGGCAGTGGGCGCATCTCAAAGTAGAAACCTAATGCTCCTGTGTTCCCAGAGTTTCTATATGAAAACAGGGAGGGGGAAATAGCAACACATTTTAGACATTGTGCTAAGGACCAGTGGCTAAGTCAGTGGACTAAGAGCACTAGGGTTACAGTGTTGCTTTGTTCACTGCTAGCTAGTGAATCAACCCTGCTGTTCATTTAGCTGAAGTGGAGAAAGTTTCATCTAGCATGTGTTGAATAAGCTTGACAAGTGTAACATTTCATTGGACTCTTTTTTATGTTGTGCAGAAATGTCTTGATTTTATAGACTTTGGCACTTCAGCTTGCTACCCTACCCAAGCTCTTGAAAAGAATGGCAGGGTTGAGTTGAATGTATTCCTAAAGATTTTCACCCAAAATGACCCAGTTCTCAGGAAACAGGATGAGGAAGAGGAACAATAGATTGAGTGTCCTTTTTTTTTTTTTTTTTTCAATCAAGGGTGGCTGTCTTTAAGGCAGGGTGAAGAGGGAGACCAGAATCACTGCCAGCAATTCCCTTGTCCGAAGCTTAAAGACAATGAGAACTTTATGCGGTCACCTGTGCTAAGTCACTGGAGCACTCGCTAAGGCTGCATTTAGGGAGGAGATTCAAGACCGTGGCTAATAAGGTCAGAGTAAAGTGTTTACCCTGAAGATGTTCCATTGACCACCAGGGCCTGGACCTAACATCTAAGATGTGGGCTCTGTTTTTCCATTTCTTTGATTCTGCCTGAGTCTATCTCTCCTTCTATAATAGCCCGAGTGCCAGTAGTAAACTAGGAACTAAGTAAAAAATAGACAGGCTGACTCTGGCTTTGTGAACACAGATTCTGGAAGGCCTCATAAATAGTGACAATGGTTTGGGCGAAAGAGAGGTCCAGGGTCACCAGTGCTATGGTAGGGATTGCACCTGGCAGTGTAGCCACCATGGTATGAAACCAGGTGCTGATTCAAACCCCTGCTCCAGGTGTGCTGATTCTGAACTTGCTCATTTCTTGTCACCCTGCACCTTGTTTTAATACTAGTCAGTACTATTATACCTGCAATACTCGTCCTGCAGAGGTGTTAGGCAATGCACAAGGTATTGGTACAGAACTCCAATCTTTCTCTCTCCCTCCTCGTAGGGACTTCACCCATGCATCTCAGTTCAGATGCTGTTAAGCTGAGAGCAAGCCCACAGTCTAAACCTAAAGGTATAACGTGGATAGACCTCCTGCTGTCCACCTGTTCACCCGGGACGAGAATGTGAACAAGTTCCCTGCAGCGCCAGCTTGGCAAAATGTGGGCATCTTGTGTGTCATGTTGTGTAAGCGAGGAAGCTGGTGTAACTCCTGGTAATCAGGGCAAAAGTTCAGAGGCTGCATGCCGGTCTTCCTACTCAAGGTTGGAACTTACCTTCTGGGGTCCTCCTCATTTCCTAGGAAGCCCACATTGGGGACTACTAATCTGACACAATATCCTTGCAGGTATCCAACTGGAAACCAACTGTGCAATAACTCTGGTGACATAAGAGGGAAAAGCAGCTCAGGGTGATCTGAGAGGTGGCTGTTCTTATGGACAGGGAGCGGCCCTTTCTCCTTGGGCTCCAGACTCGGGTATGTCGCTCAAGGTTGGCAGTTGAGAAAGAGTAGGTCCCACGGCATTTCCTTAATCACTGCATGTCCTGAGACACGAAGGCTCTGAGGCTCAGTTCTCCCATGTGAGAAATAGGGTGATACTTTTCCTTGATATTTGGGTAATGTGTTTTAAAAACGAACACATAGTTTGGCCCTGGCAAGTGCTCAGATACAAGCAGTGAAGGGGCCACCATGTGACACTTGCAGGATAAACTCCAGGCCGAGTTCCTGTGAACAACTGAGGTCTGATTCCAGAATGGCAATGTGCTGGCAAGACACTCATGGGCACTACAACGGAGATGCTCCTTAAATTGGCTGATTGCACTGCTAGCATGGACTTCAAATGACAGTTTAGTAGCACTGGCTCGTTACTATACTTTCCATTTTTCATATAGCAAATTACTTAATAAGTCATTGAATTTCCAGTTATGTCCATTTGTAGAGTTAAAATTAGACAACATAAAAAGACATAAAAAAATTAGACAACATGCTATTTAAAATTGATACTCCTGACAGTGGACTGGTTTTATGGGAGGTACACGGGAGAAATCTTTGTGCATAAAAATTCCAATGTAGGGGCCTCTCTGGTGGTACACGGGGTTAACACACAGCACTAGGAGGCCCTCTGCAGCCACTGCAGCATGAGTTCGATTCCCCAGCCAGGGGAGTTAGATCCCCCGACCTCTCCTGTCCCACCCACTACTCCCCTTTGCAGTATATTTCAGTCAATCTGCCTGTTCTGTTCCCCTACTCTGTCTCCTCTCACCTACTCTTGGCCCCCCACCCAGCACCTCTGGCCTGTACCCCAGTTCTTGTAGGCATAAATAAATAAAAATGGCAATTCCAATCTAGTTGGAAAAATAAAGCCTAAATAAATGACAATGTATGTGCATATCTATCAGTCAATAGATCAATTGATCAACAGATTGATATAGATGAGAATATTTACACTGATAGATACACAGACCGAATCCAGGGCTAATTCGCTGGGGCGGTGCATTCAGCACAAGCACAGGTAACCCCTGGAACTTCAGTCTTCATAACACTAACACAGATAGACCGCTAGAGGCACCAGAGAGCCGTAACAGCCTCGCTTGCATCTTCTGCGTTAGCCCTAGCGATGAAGTCTTGGCCTCCACTCTCCTGAATGGCACTGCACACCCGTTTGTCCAAGGCGCTGGTAACAGCAGCTGGCACGTGTTGGGACAGTGCAGCGACAGGAGCTGGTCCCTCGGGAGCCGTGGGGATGGAGTGAGTCCACATGCCAAACCCCGCAGCCCACCACACAAAGCCAGGCCTCCCTGGGAAACTGCTCATCTGTTTATATTCTTTGGAACAATTCCTTTATGGGTACCTTCCTAAAAAGTCCCCAGTCCTGGGTGAAAACCGTCTACGTGCTGCTACATTGGGCTGCTACATTGGGCTTCTTGGTGGCCCTTCCTAGTGCCACCAAGAAACACCTGTTCTGCCCTTGGAGTTCTCTTAAAATAATACATAATTGGCCCTCCCTGGTGGCGCAGCGGGTTAAAGCACAGCACAAAGAAGCTTAAGCCACTTCCACGTGAGTTTGATCCCCGCTTGCCCTGGAGGAGAGGCACATTGGCGAGGCAGACCTCTCCTGACCGGCCCGCTGCTCCCCTCAGCAGTGTACTTCATCAATCTGCCTGTTCTGCTCCCCACTCTGTCTCTGGTGAAGCCTCTAACCCTCTGCAATACTCGTCCTGCAGAGGTGTTAGGCAATGCACAAGGTATTGGTACAGAACTCCAATCTTTCTCTCTCCCTCCTCGTAGGGACTTCACCCATGC